GTTTAACCTCTTAAGTGTCACTGGCCTTAAACTAATCTTGCCATACTATATATCATTTGAAATCTTACAATTTCTAGTTTTCATATGTGGTGATTGAGAGGAGCCGTAATTTATCAATTTTTCTACAAGAATGTTTTTTTTTATACCTCCTAAGACGTGTTTAGACCTTGAAAAATCATGAAAGAAGGGTAGAAACCTCCGTTTATTTTCATACCAAAAGTTCAAAAGATAGCATCCATTCAATTATTTTAGAAAAAAAAAGGTCTGACTTTTTTTTTTTAATATAAAGAAAATTATAGATTCACCATTTGAAGCTATAACGCACATACTTGTTATTTTTTATATGTTTCTTAGAGGTGGAATTCATATCAAAATCTGCCAAACTTCCCATGCTACTTCTGAATTGGATGTCAACTTTATAAATTGTATGAAAATTGTGGAAATATTGGTTAATATCACTCAAAACACATATGGAAATGTCAGCGCCCTTATATGGGCAGTAATGGAGTCAGGTTGTGCCCTAGTGGAAGCGTTCGGTCCTGCGCCCAACCAAAATCTCACTAAAAGCTCATTTTTTGAGGTATCAACCCAAAATTTGAAACTCCTAAAATTTTTATCGTTTTAGAGTCGCCCATGTTTTGAAAATAAATATGAAAAATACATTTTCATAAACTCAAACTTCTATAACTTTAATTATTTAACTTCTGCTAAAATCTGCCTATAATCTCATGTCTATGAATTACAACCATTTTAGTTGAAATGTGCATTTTCATGTATATTCAAAAAAGAGAGGTGACACTTACTGTAAAGGGTTAAAGAGTATTTTAGCTTCAGAATACATTGATTATTTTCCTCAAAATCTTTGTTTGTGTTTATCTGAAGAAAGAAAGTCATGTACATCGCGGCTGGCATGAGGGTGAGTAAATGATGAGAGAACTTTCCTTTTTGGGTGAACTATCTCTTTAAGATGACCAACACAGAGCAGTTTTGGGTTTGGTCTGCTCAACAGATCGCGCTCCTCTCAGATCCCAGGCCCGATGAAACCGTACGCTCTTGACAGGTGCGAGCTCGGAGCATGTGGTTCAGCTCAATCCCAACGTCAAACGGGGAAATGTTTAGGATCTTTACACTCAATCCTAATGCGACCAGTTTAAGTGGCTCCTTCCGTTCGTACCACACTGTTCAATACATGAATTTGTCCAAAAATGCACTCGTATATGCAGATAAATATGAATTATTGTAAATGCTGAGACATTAAATATTGATTGGACATAAATGAGAGAGACTCCAATGAAACGGTAAGTTTAAAATGAATATGTTTGCCTCTGGAGACGGAATCTGTAGGCCGAACGAGGGTAAGAAACACAGTAGGATAAAACAAGACTGCAACATGGACTGCATGCGACTGAGTGCCACTTTTTCCTTGCATGTGAATGAAAAGCGTCTCTTCTAATTTTGCATTTTGTCTTTTTATTTATTTTTTAACTGTCACCTGTAAGGGGCCTTTCACACCGATCGGTTTTTTTCTGTTCCACTGTGCTACTTTTCCACTGTATTTTTCCAATGTAAACCCGTGCTAGATGGACATCTTTAACCGTTGCGCTCCAGTCTCGCGTCTTGTGCATTACACCAGTGGTTCCCAACCTTTTTTTTTTTGTCTGAGACCCCCTTTTTCCCAAGAAAATAAATAATATAATTCAATTATGCTGTTCGCAATGCTTCATGGGATTGTACTTCGTTCCCTCACATAAGACCAATGCAACTAATCTTTCATGCCAACTTTAAGGTTTAGCTCATGAATATTAATTTTTTCACAATACAACAAATTCCTAGTTTAAAAATAATCTCACCATACTTTTTTCTTGCTAAATATATTTGTTTCTACTCTGAAATATGTAATGTATTCATATTATGGAAGCAAAGTAGTTATGTGACTCTTCCATGTTTAGTTTTTTGGGGTTAATGTGTTGTCACAACACCAGTTAAGCCTTAGCTCATGAATATTAATTAGGGTATGCTCAGTTAAATAATCGTCTATGATCTGAGGTCAGGGTCTGTGGTAAATAAATGTGCTCAGTTCCAGGTCAAAACTGAAATGCATTAGCATTATGGTTAGAAATAAACTGCACAAAATCATTTAAATAATTTCCATGGCACACTAAGTAGCATAACGACTTTATGTTCTCATAGTGCAGTGATTTAGTAGATCAGTGGATTGATGAGAGGATCATAATGCTTCTTGATACGCAGCCAAATAAAATGGTTTTATAATTATGTTTCTCTTGCAGTGCCAAAGGTCGTGGCAAGGGCAAGGTTGGCGGCAGGCTGAGGTAAACGTGCAGCGAATCGAAACACCCCAGAGATCCAGAAGACTTTGCCATCTTCTTCACATATGCAGTTGTGGTCATAATAAAGCCATTGTTCTGTTTGACTGCACTTTTAGAGACAGTGAAGTGACATTTTTCATATTGTATTTCTGCTTGTTCTTGTTGTTGTTTTGTCTTGGACACAAGTATTCTGCATTTATCACTAAATTTAATGTCACTTTAACCCTGCAAGATTAAAAGAGTCAATTGTCTACAAAGCATCTGTTTCTTAAGTTATACATATCCCATTTGTAAAGATAATGTTTAGTTGACATTAAAGGGATAGTTCACTTTGAAATTAATTTTTGATATGTTTTAGCTCACCTCAAGGGCATCCAAGATGTAGGTGTCTTTGTTTCCGCAGTATTTTCAATTTTGATATTTTTAGGTCAAACCGTTCTTGTCAAAGCTGCCATCTTGCAGCAGAACTTCACTTGCGTTAGCATTTCCATTGACTCCCATTCATTTTGGCGTCCCTTTGAGTAAGTAACTGGTAAGTAACTTTGCAAAAAGACAATTTCTTCAGTAAAACGAGTTGCTCTGTCGGGTAATTTAGGTTTGTTGACATGCTGAACTAACGTTAGACCTTCCGAATAGTAAATCTTTTAATGAATGATGTTCATATTAATAAGTAGAATAACAAGGAATTGTGGTCGGTTGGATTGAGAAGCTGATGGTGCTGCTGCTTCATGCTTTTGTAGAGCTCTAGTGATTTTACTTCTTATGAAAAGCATCAAATGAGTTACTCAGTCCAGAACAGAACAGGGCTAAAACCGTGTGCAGGAAACCAGCCTTTTAGGATTACATTTGTTAATTGTGAAGAAAAGAGTCATCTTAATTTTAATTTAGTTGAAAGATTATCAAAACAGCATTAGTGAATTAAATAAAATATATTTTTCATTAGTAAACTATATACTGTATATTTGTACAATAATACTGTACAGATTTAGTTTCAATTTATTACATTTCCATCGTTTCCATCATTTCCAGTCTTTAGACTAACTTGCAGATTCTATTTTTTTAGATAAATAATGCAGATGGATGCTTAAAGGGATAGTTCACCCAAAAATGAAAATGATGTCAGTAATTACTCACCCTCACGTTGTCCCAACCCTCATAAGACATTCGTTCATCTTCAGAACACAAATTAACCCTCCTGTTACCCTCAAATCTGATAGCACTTTTTACCCTCTGGGGTCAATTTGACCCCAGTAATTTAAACCTCCACAATATGTATATTTTTTTACAAAGGTTTGTCTCGGTTAATTTATGTCTTTGTTGACTACTTAAGTAACGTTTTAAGTTGACATCCACCCACCACCCCCCTCCCCACCCCACCTAACCCCTTATACATCCAGAATACCCATTGCACGACTATGGACAAATTTACAAATCAACATAAAATCTTACTGATTTGACCTAAAATTGGAAAAGTATAAATACATCTGGTGTTTTATTTGTTTTATAATATTTCTAATATTTCTTTATTTTATCAAGGATAGTAACACGAGTTGTGTTTGGGGTCAATCTCACAAAAATTGTTTTCTCCTCCCCCATGGCACGGAAAAACATCAAATTTCTCACAAAAATGATGTTTTCCCCTCCCCAATGCACAGGAAAGAATTATTAGTTATCTTGAGAATTATGTCACATGTCATGTGAACTACTAGTAGTTCTCGCAATACTACAGATATGGTTATGTTTGGTTAGAGCCATAAAACAGAGGGACGTTTTTTGAAAATGATATTGAATATGTAAAATTACAATGAACATTATAAATTCAAATTATAACATGTTATAATGACCTCAATATAATAACCAAAACAAATGTGTGTGAAATTTTAATATTTCTTCTGTTTTATTATACATCTAAAAGAGCCTGGGGTCAAATTGACCCCAAGGAACACCGATGTTACAAAATTTGTACAGGACTTTGAAAAAATATTAGCAGGTTAATTTTATGTTTACAGAGTTGTCCCCATTAAATTAGGAAAAGTCATTAAATTTGAAGCAAAAAAATAATAATAATAATATATATATATATATATATATATATATGTTTTTACAGACAAATTGATCCCAAGGATAATAGGAGGGTTAAGATATTTTTTAATAAATCCAAGAGCTGGATCACTCCTCCATAATAAGGGATTGAAACTTGCCGGCCCAGAAAAGTTATTAAAGACATCGTTAAAATAGTCTAAGTGACTACAGCTCAACCAAAAGTTTATCAAGTGACAAGAATACTTTTTGTGTGCAAAAAAAAAAAAAAACAGCAGCAGTTCTGTTTTGTACGTCACCACGTAGGCTCACTATTGGCTGAAAATTTAAGTTTCAACCAATTTCTGAATTGTATTCTGCCTGAAACTGTGTTCCCAAGTTGAATTATACTGTGTGTATTTAAGTTGTCTTTTTATGTTTTGGGCTGTTGCAAGAAGCTAATGCCTGGGAAGAACAGTCAGGTCTGGATGAGGTAATAATCATTTGCAATGAAAATGCACAAGAACAACATGTATAAGGTTAACTTAATAGTAGGATGACCATATATTGATAACCGAAAACCAGGATATTCGATATTCAAAGTTTACTCAAAGAAATATCTCTCACAAACTCAAGTGCAGATGTCGACCTCCATTGGCCAGCAGAGTGGATGACATATCTAGCCTTTATATAGATATCTATGGGTAAGATGGCTTCTAAAACCATTCCAGCAGCTGATTGGTGGTTCAACGGCTGATTGGATCATGGAGCTCCTCCTACTCGTCAGTGGCTGCAGCTGGCTGGGCTCTTTAAAAAGCCTAGTTTTGAGTGTTCACTTTCTGCTCTCTGCTCCTGCAGTTGGTGTCTTTGTGTTTGTAGGGAGCTTCAGCAGAAGCTGAAGGTTGAAGGTCTTCAGAGCGACTGAAGAGAGCAAAATCATGTTCAGACGTTACCTATTTCCAATCCAGGACAAACGGGATTTTGTGGACCTCCTGGTTCAATGGACCTCCTGGTTCAATGCTTAATGGAAAGGTAAGCAAAATGTCATCCCTTATTGCAGAATCCTTCAAATTGGTTCCCTTTCCTAACCTTGATCTTTCCTAACAGATCTACGTGACTCGACAAAGCTGTATATCTCTTGGAGGGGAGCAACTGGCTTGTATTTTGTAAAAAATTAAGACTTTCTCTAGCATGAAACTGATTAATTTTGATCATGGAGCCATGAAGATGTCTGAGTGCTGAAATGATATATTTGTGAAAATAAAGTAAAAAAACAAAAAAAAACAGGAAAATATTAAAGTAGTGTTTAAAGTCTAGTGTCTTTTTTTGTGTGTAATGGTCTTTTTTTTGGTGTGTTTTAATGGTCTAGTTACTGAATGTAAGGTTTGAGGTTTTTTTCCTATGAAGGGTTTTTTCTTTAGGTTTTTTTGAGGTTTTTTATTGAGAAAAGTTTCTCAGAAAAAGCTGAGAAGAGAAGTTGCTCAAAAAAAGCTGAGAAGAGAAATTTCTCACAAAAGCTGAAAAGAGAAGACTGATGCTTCTCTCAATGTAGAGTGTGTTTTAATGGTCTAATAACTGAATATGGTTTTATAGATTTTTACTTTAAAGGTTTTTTTGAGGGTTTTTTTGAGAACAGAAGCTTCTGTATTAATGGTCTAATACCTGAATGTGGTTTTTGAATGTTTTTTTTTTAGGTTTTTTGTTTAAGTTTTTTTTTTAGTTTTTTTTTTTTAGGGTTTTTTTTTTTTTTTTTTATGTGTTTTTTTGAAGGTCTTTTTTGAGTTTTTTTTTAGGTTTTTATTTATTTTTTTGACGTTTTTTTAGGGTTTTTTTGTTTTTTTTTTTAGGTTTTTTTTTAGGGGGGGGTTTTAGAAGAGAAGCTTCTCTTAGTGTAGAATGTGTTTAAATGGTCTAGTTACTGAATGTGTTTTTTTAGGGTCAACCGACACCTATTATTATAGAGCTTATAGACATCTATTATTATAGAGCTTAAGACTCAACCGACATCTATTTTTATAGAGCTTAAGACTCAAGACTCAACCGACATCTATTTTTCTAGAGCTTAAGACTCAAGCCTCAACCGTCATCTATTATTATAGAGCTTAAGACTCAACCGATATCTATTTTTATTATTTATTATTATAGAGCTTATAGACATCTATTATTATAGAGCTTAAGACTCAACCGACGCCTATTTTTATAGAGCTTAAGACTCAAGACTCAACCGACATCTATTTTTCTAGAGCTTAAGACTCAAGCCTCAACCGTCATCTATTATTATAGAGCTTAAGACTCAACCGATATCTATTTTTATAGAGCTTAAGACTCAAGACTCAACTGACATCTATTATTATAGAGCTTAAGACTCAAGACTCAACAGACATCTATTATTATAGAGCTTAAGACTCAATCGACATCTATTTTTATAGAGCTTAAGACTCAAGACTCAACTGACATCTATTATTATAGAGCTCAAGACTCAACAGACATCTATTATTATAGAGCTTAAGACTCAAGACTCAACAGACATCTATTATTATAGAGCTTAAGACTCAATCGACATCTATTATTATAGAGCTTAAGACTCAAGACTCAACAGACATCTATTATTATAGAGCTTAAGACTCAATCGACATCTATTTTTATAGAGCTTAAGACTCAAGACTCAACTGACATCTATTTTTATAGAGCTTAAGACTCAAGACTCAACTGACATCTATTATTATAGAGCTTAAGACTCAAGACTCAACAGACATCTATTATTATAGAGCTTAAGACTCAATCGACATCTATTTTTATAGAGCTTAAGACTCAACATCTACTATTATAGATCTATAGTAAGTAAGTAATTATCCAAGTAAGTGTCTAAGTAATTATCCAAGTAAGTGTATTTTTATAGAGTGTCTAAGTAATTATCCAGGTAAGTGTCCATGTAAGTAAGTAATTATCCAAGTATTAATCCAAGTAATTAGTATCCAAGTAAGTAAGTAATTATCCAAGTATCGAAAAGTATCGAAGTCGGAAAAGTATCGAAAAGTATCGAAAGTATCGAAAAGTATCGAAGTCGGAAAAGTATCGAAAAGTATCGAAGTCGGAAAAGTATCGAAGTCGGAAAAGTATCGAAAAGTATCGAAAAGTATCGAAGTCGGAAAAGTATCGAAGTCGGAAAAGTATCGAAAAGTATCGAAGTCGGAAAAGTATCGAAAGTATCGAAGTAAAGTAATAATCCAAATTAATTATATTATTAAACGTCGCGAAAATTAATGTTTAAGCAGCATAACCGCAGCGACAGGGGTTCCGAAACCTCGGGGGGGGGACACACACACACTACCCCCCCCTTTAGTTTGGTCTTTTGGGTGTGCAGACTCGTCGGGACCGGTTGATTCCCTGTTCGCTCCCTCTGGTTGTTTGGTTCTGACCCGGGATTGAACCGTTAACCTTTGGAAGGCGAAACCAGGCCTCATCCACTACGCCACCGGAGCCTACACACTTCTGACACTTCTCTTCGTACATTTATCTTTCGAAACGGAGTCTAAACGCACAAACGAAACAAGAAGTTGGACTTGAACCGGCAACCTCTCGCTTCAGAGCCGGTACCGCTACCACTGCGCCACTGAAGACGACACGGTTCTAACACTTCTCTTCGTACGTTTATCTTTATGGAGGAATCTTAACAGTGTTTAAGTGTTTTTTTTTTTTTTTTTTTTTTTGGAAGACGGCACGCTTCTGAAACCGACTCGGCACGCTGACTTTCAACCGTCAGAACCGTGTCGTCTTCAGTGGCTCAGTGGTAGCGGAGTCTAAACGCAACAAGAAGGTGGAATAGAACCTGTATCCACTCGCTTCAGAGCCAGTACCGCTACCACTGCGCCACTGAAGACAACACGGGTCTGACACTTCTCTTCGTACATTTATCTTTCGAAACGGAGTCTAAACGCACAAACGAAACAAGAAGTTGGACTTGAACCGGCAACCTCTCGCTTCAGAGCCGGTACCGCTACCACTGCGCCACTGAAGACAACACGGTTCTAACACTTCTCTTCGTACGTTTATCTTTATGGAGGAATCTTAACAGTGTTTAAGTGTTTTTTTTTTTTTTTTTTTTTGGAAGACGGCACGCTTCTGAAACCGACTCTGCACGCTGACTTTCAACCGTCAGAACCGTGTCGTCTTCAGTGGCTCAGTGGTAGCGGAGTCTAAACGCAACAAGAAGGTGGAATAGAACCTGTATCCACTCGCTACAGAGCCGGTACCGCTACCACTGCGCCACTGAAGACAACACGGTGGAGGAATCTTAACAGTGTTTTAGAAGTTCAAATATGGAGTGATTAATCACATGACAATTAGGACTCAGGTGAATGGCTCAATGTTCTGGAACCATGTGACCATGAAGTAAAGATGGCTGAAACCAGGCCATGCGCTTCCAAAGCAGCATGTGGAGCTTGAGATGAATGTGAATCCCGAGTTAGTGTTTGATAAAGATATCAGGTCTGATTGGTTTTTAACCAAAACTCCTAAGCAGAAAAAACAAGCTCAGTCTAAACAAGTGCTAGTTGACTTAAAACATAAATCTGTGGAACATCCCTAACCCTTCTGAACATCTTCAAACAAGGTAATGCTGTTTGTTTTTGTGAATATATATATATAAACGATTAGTTGAAGTCAGTGCTGGGTAGTAACTGATTACATGTAATTTAATTACGTAATAAATTGTGCTTTAAAAAAACATAATCAGACTATAGTTACTTTTAAAACTGATTCTCAGAGTTTGATTTACAGAAATAACTGGTATTTTCTCAACATTACAGCTCCTGACGAACATAATTTATCTTTTTTTTTTTTTCAGTAATCCTCTTTTGATGTAATATATTTGCTTGAAGTCGCCCTGAAATTTTAAGAAGCTCATAAATCAATAATTTAACATTAGCATGTTCATCTTTCTCTGATGTCGTATAATGCAAGTAAAGAAAGCATTGCATCATTATTAAGTGTTTTAGATTGTTTTAAATTTCTTTAACTTTTTTATTGAACTAACTATTAATTTTTCATGAACTTAGACACTCCCTCAAATTCCTTCACAAACCCTAACATCAGGTCATAGGACAAAATTTGGTATAATATGGTATTATCTTCAAATATTCAAATCTAAGTGTTTAGAAGTTAGTGGGATGATCTCGAAACCATATGCTTCGCGTTAGAAGCTTGCGAACGCAGGCTGGCTCTCCGCCGTCCAGAGGGTGCGCTGAACCGGAGTAGTTCGAGAGCCTTAGCGCCCGGCGCTCCTGCACGGTCACGGCTTCGGTGGCGATTGAATGGGGAATGTGTTCGCGGCTGCCCAGTAACATGCTAATGCCGCCAGGGAGACGCGTGAAGAGGAGGGCCGTGTTTGACCAAGGGGTTTTGTGGCAAATCCAGACTGCTTCTGCGCTGGAGAAGCGTTAAAATTGACGTGATGGTCTCGTGAAGCTGAAGGCGGATGGTGTCCAACTTCTTGTGGTGGGTCTCGTTTCGCCTTTACCTAGTAATGAGTATCTGGGGCTGCTTGGAAATAAATACAGTACAGTAAAATACTCAAATACAGTAAAGTGGATCAAAAACATTTATCAAAGTTATCCTAAGACAAGAACATGTATTGTTCAAAATCCATGTATAACTTTGATGAAAGGTTTTGATCCACTTCAAATGTTGACTACTATAGTACAAGAAAAAATAGTTTTATTCTGACAACAACATTTAATTCAAAAGAACCAATCGCAATCCTTCTTAACTGAGAAAAAGTTAAGGAGGATTGTGCGTTTGTGCGTTTAGACTCAAAAGATAAGTCATGGTAACTGAGAAAAAAAAACTTCAAATCACTTGGTTTGGTTAAAGGTAGCACTGTGTAGTTTAAGTATTTTATCAGCTAAAATCAGTGTCTTTATTCATAAATATGTCCTCATTGGTGTACAATTACCTATGCCAATGATCTGACTTAACCTCATAAGCGAAGAATTTCTACTTTTAAGTTAACTTTTAAAAAAACTTTTGCTGATAATTTACTCACCCCCATGTCATCCAAGATGTCCATGTCTTTCTTTCTTCAGTCGAAAAGAAATTAAGGTTTTTGATGAAAACATTCCAGGATTTTTCTCCATATAATGGACTTCAATGGGGTCCACACGGTTCAAGGTCCAAAAGACAGTTTCAGTGCAGCTTTAAACGACATCAAAATGAACAAATCTTTTTTCAAGTCATTTGGTTCATTCAACGAACAAAATGAACGAAATGACTCAAAAAAGATTCAT